GTTTAGAAACACAGAATCAAGGTCAATCAATAGGTATTAAACGATAACGGTTTCAAAAGTTTTTTTTCCAAATGTTTTCGAAAAGGATTGCCACGTGTTCAGTTATTTTAAATTAATTTATGTATATATAATATATATGAAATATTTTAATAGGGTTGTCAAAACGGGTTTGGTTTAAGTAAACTATATATTCGCAAACGTCAAGCTGTGAAGTTCTACTTATTTTGTGCCTTGATTGGTCTTTGTATTTTGCAAATTTTATTGTGCTAATTTTGAGTAACAGTTGCTATAAAAAGTGCCTACGAGCATCCTAGTGTGATAATAACCGAAGCTAAGTGAAAGTTTTGTGATTTTTGTGGTTTTTATTAAATTTAATTAAATTTCACTAGCTTACATCTAATCTTGCCGAGTCATTTGTTGTTATCATTGTTGTTGTTATTTCTTTGTAGTTAACTGAGATCGTTTCTATTTTTGCACATTTCTTTTTGCTCTGTTTGTTGTTTGTTTACTTCGTTTAGTATTTCTTGTCACAGCTGTTTGCGCTGCGTTTATTAAGTGTCATAATACAGTGATACTCAAACTGTTCGCTACATATATTTTTAAGCTAAATACATCAGCTCCTAAATTGTTGTGTGTGTTGTGTTAAACTTATTTTGCTTGTCTTTTTATTAACATAAGTCTTATTAAATCTTTCAATATGAAGTGTGATCTTGATAACTGCCAAATCAAAAGCGAATCTGAACGCTACTTATCGTGCTGGCTCTGTGATGGTATTTGCCATCTAAAATGTGCTGGTTTGACAGGAAGAATTCTGGACGCTATTAATGATGGCAAAGGTCTTCGCTGGTCTTGCTTAAAGTGCAGGTCAACCGAAGTTGATCTCTTTAAGTTGTTTAGGCAAACCAGAAATGGGTTTTCTGAGGTAGGGAGAGAGTTGTCGGTACTGACCGAAAAATTTAAACATTATGAAAATGTATTTAAATCTTTTAAATGCTTAGATACCGTACAATCTATGAAGGACATTCATGTGTCAAAACGTAAGCGTCTTCATAGTCCGCCTAATGAAAGGACCGTTCCACGTCAGAACAATCTTCCGAATGACTTAATTAATCTTTCTTCTCCATGTCCACAGACAACGGAGTTATCTTCCTCAAAAGAACATATATCAAAGTCTGCTTCTAAGAATAACGACCCTGCAGTATCTTCCCCGTCCCCCGTTGAAGTTGTGGCACCGCCATCTAATCTTCCAACGCTTACTCTACCCTCAATTAGTAACTCAGTTACTCAACCCCGTCCGCCAGTAATCGAGTCTGATACTAGGAGACTGGTTGTGGTTCCCCGAAAGAAGTCTATATTTGTATCTAGATTTTCGAGGGATACTTCTGAGGACGATACAAAGTTTTACATCTCGTCCAAAGTTAAAACTGTCAACTTAAGTATCAGAAAATTTAATTTTAAATATGAAAGAAATATTTCTTCATTTAAAATAGACGTAAATTTAGAAAATTTTGACATGCTGCTTAGTAGTTCTTTTTGGCCCTCTGGAGCTTTCGTTCGTGAATTTGAGTATAGGCCCAACAAAAATAATAATTTAGCAAATATTCCCCGTCAGAATACAGAACCAAAAAACTGATTACTAAATCTGCTTTAAGTATTTATTATCAAAACGTAAGAGGCATAAATACTAAATTAACGAATTTATATCTTAATGGCCTTGAATGCAATTATAATATAATTTCTTTGACTGAAACTTGGCTCAAACCTCACACTTTTAATTCAGAGATTCTTTCAAATAATTATCATATCTACAGAAAAGATCGGGAGGACAGGGTCGGCGGTGGCGTACTCTTTGCCGTAGACTCTTCAATACCATCTGAAGAAGTTAGTCTTCCACACATTGAATCTGCAGAATTCAAATGCATTCGTGTTCAGGTTGGAAGGGGGTTTACTTACTTAGCTCTATGCTATGTTCCTCCCCGATCTGACTTATCAGTGTATTCACAACATGTATCTTTACTGAAATCAATTAATTCAATGATTAAACCCTCTGATTCATTGATTGTGTTGGGTGACTTTAATTTACCAAATGTATCATGGAACATTATTGACAATGATATTGTACCTTTCTCGTCTAGCGCGTGCAACAACGTATTTTTAGAGGAGATGGCAGAACTCTGCCTGAATCAAGTTAATGTACTTCGCAATAAGTTTGGCAAAGTATTAGATCTTGTTTATGTTGATGATGCATCTAAGTCGGCTGTAAATAAATGTGACCCACTAGTTTTGCCCGAAGATGTCTACCACCCTGCTATTGAGATATCTTACGAAATTATAAACGATGGTCAAAATTGCGATGTCCAAACATACGAACCAAATATTCGCTTTGATTTTTCGAAAGCCAACTTTAAAAAACTGAATAAAGAATTGTCTAAATTGTCGTGGCCTATATACAAAGAAAAAGTTGAGCAAAGCGTTGCACATTTTAATTGTACTGTACATAGATTATTTGAAAAGTATGTGCCTCAACGCATGTGTGTTCCTGAAGAACAAACACAGTTATGGTTCACTAAAGAACTGAGAAACTTGAAAAACAGAAAGTCACGTTATTTGAGATTACACAAAAAAACCGGCTTACACTCATACTATGTAAAATACTCACTTTTGCGTCACAAGTTCTTTGAATTAAACAAAAAGTGTTATAAGGATTACTTGTGTAAAATCAAACGACGTATAATATATAACCCCAAATCATTTTATGATTTCGTAAACTCCAAGCGAAATGTACGTGGGTTTCCTTCCGCCATGAAGTATCAAAATACCGTCTCTGGTGATAATCAAACAATTTCTAACATGTTCGCTCAGTTTTTTAAATCCAATTATTCCACTAACTCCCAAGCATACTTTGACTATCCTTTTAAACTAAGTCCAATTAACTCTATACATAACCCTATAATATCTCCCGATGATATTTTAGTTTACCTGAAGTCCTTAAAGCAGTCTTTTAGTTATGGTCCTGACCAGATCCCCACTTGTTTTCTTAGAAATTGTGCTGATTATCTCTATGAGCCGTTAACAGCCTTATTTAATTTGTCTCTTAAAGAGGGCGTTTTTCCAACTGTATGGAAGGAATCGTTCATAACCCCCTTACATAAAAGCGGTAGCAGGTCTTCAGTGGAGAACTACCGGGGCATAGCTAAGCTTTCTGCAATTCCTACATTATTTGAAGCAATTATAACAAATCGGTTGACGCATTCCATCACTTCAAGCATTTCATACAGTCAACATGGATTTTGCAAGGGCAAAT